TCAGTCACACATTATATGCCTCAAACTCTTGAGAATTTAAAAGACACGGGTCAGTCTAGAAATAAATTGAATCGAGCATTTCCAAGTCAATGGAAAGTATGGGCACTACTGTTTCCACTGTGGAGTGTGACATAGTAGGAGATATAAAAAGAAACTAAATAGAAAGAAGCTATTATCTTCTCAGGGATGAGTTAAGGACTCTCTTACTTGGAAATGACCCACACTTTGTAGGATAACAAAGTACGGTCTCATCTGGTTTATTTCCATTCTGTTTGTGTGAATGCACACATTTAATACAGGCAATATAATCATTTTACACTTACATTTATTGTGCATTTCATGTTTCCCAACATAGCATGAATATTATACTCTGTATAGCATGATTTAAGAAAAGTAATTTTGCTTATTCTTATATAACCTACCCAGAACAAACTAATAATGGTTCTGAGCCAGAAGAAACTATAGTAAAGCAGGCCAGTAAGCAAAGAGGGAGGAGAGGAAAAAAGACATCCTATTAGGGAGTCTAGTCCTAGTCATAAATCACTTACCATACACCAGACTTCCATTCTTAATAATCTTGTATTCCAAATAAAACCATGAACAACAGGAACTTCCTAAAGGCCCTAACAGGAAATCCTAAAAGCTTTGCCTCTAGAAATAAGTCACAAAAACAGGAACATGGTGTTTTCTTTATCTAAAGACAGGAACATCCTGTTTTTATCCAATCTAAATTGTTAACTATCTTATCGGAGTTGTAAATTCATCTTATTCTATTTGATGAGCCACTAGTTCTGAAAGTCTGATTTTGAACTGCTAGTAAAAATGTTTCTCTGTGCTCATATTTGTTTTTGAATTTTATTTTGACCAAAAGTTCCTGAATTTTGAGGGGTTGGCACTGATTTTCTTGGGAGGTTCCAAGGTTGAACACACTCAGAGATGGCTTCATGGGTGGGCAACACAGTTACACAGTCCTTACTGGCCCTTGGTTTAATGCTCTATTATCACTATTGTGTTTTAAAAAGGGGCTTTGCCCCAACTTGTATTACTGATCCTCAATGCACCATAAACCTCTCTTGGGCTCCTAAATACGATAAAAAGAACATGGTTTTAGACGTCCAGCAGATCTTTATTTGGGAAAAATGCTCATCTTCATCAAGAAAACAGCAGTAATACCTCAGACTTGTTGGATGATGAGATGATGTAAGTACCATGCTTGACACTTAGAAGCTCCATGAATAGTTCTGAACTTTACTTTCTTGGAAGTAAGTTATATCTTTGAGCAATATTTCTCTTCACAGTATGAATCTTTATAGAAGGGGAAATTCCTTTCAGGATTTGTTGTGAGAGCTGGGCTACTTCCGAGTTCACTTTTGTGTTCACTTCTTTACTTCCCCAGTTCAGATCCGTTTGCAGTCTCTTCTACCACCTGAATGACCTTTCTATTGTTAAATTACTTCCAAGTCTTATTCTCCTTGACCTCTTTGTTGTGTGTCAGTTTGGATCACTTGCTCATCTTCTGTAGCTCCATAGCTCCCTACTCCCTGGTTCTTCCCAATCTCTATGACTACTCATCAGTGTTAATTCCTATCCCGTAAGAGTGTTCCTTAAGTAGCTCTCTGAGAACCTTTTGTTGTGCTTACTTTGTATGTACCTGTTAGGTGAGCTCATCCATTCCTATACATTCAGTTTTTACCTATATGCTGATGATTCCTGTTCTGAATATATAGTAGAGTATGTTCTGGCAGCAAGAAACAAAGTTCAACCCCATGGGCTTTATCTGCAAAGAATTTACAGAATTAGGTGGCAATAAGTAGAGAAAAGGGGTGGTGCTTAGGCATGATTCAATCAGTATCCCAGCTATTCCTCTGTAATTTTCCTAGTCTGAGACGAGTTACTTCACAAAGCACTGTTATAAGTTTGAGGAAGCTTCTTTCCCAGAAATCTCCAGCTAAACTTTTCCTGCTTCTGACTGGCCCCAAATGAGTCAATGTGTCAATTTTTGAACCAATCCCTGTGGCTGAAGGAATACCATGATTTTGGGGTTAGTTTAGGCTTGCTAATTCTTGAATCCATAGTTCAGTTATCCATGGTCAACTGTTGTCCCAAAATAGGAAAATTCCAGAAAGAAACAATTCATAAATCTTGAACTGTGCCCCATTCTGAGGGTTACTTGAATATAAACACTTTGGTACTGTGACAGTGAATCTGATAACCATTACAGCTTGTAAATGACTAACCGTTTGTAAATGACTAACCGTTTGTAAATGACTAACAAGTGTGTTTGTATCCAGCATGTTGAAGCTAAACAAAAGAATGAGTCATATCCCCAGCACAACAGAGTGACACTGAGCAAGGTTTCATCTCCCTACTCAGAATGACTTCCCAGGGATCAAGGGAAAAGGTATAAAGCCACTGCTTAATACTATGTCACAATGCCTACTTACCTCACCTCATCTTATCTAATTATGTAAGCATTTGTATCATCTCACATCGTAAGAGGACGGTTGAGTATAATACAGTAAGATATTTTGAGAGGGACAACATTCAGATAACTTTTATTATAATTGTTTTATTTTGTGTTAGACTTCTCACAATACTTGACAGAAACAACTTAAAGGGAGTAAATATTTATTTTGGTTCACAGTTTCAGTCCATGGTTGGATGATTTCCTTGCTTTGTGTCTGAGGTAAAGCAAAACATCATGGTGCAGAAGGGTGTGGAACAAGAGGCTGTTTACTTCATGGAGGCCAGGAAGGAGAAAGGGGCAGGGGGCAAGAAACATCTTTCCAGGGCATGTCCCTAGTAGCCTACTCCCTTCAACCAGGTCCTACCTCCTAAAATCTCCACCTCCAAAATAGCACCACCAGCTGGGGATCAAGACTTCAATATGTAGACCTGTGTGGTACAGTTCATATTTAAATCATAGCATTATTGTTCTTAATCTCTTGTACCAAATTTATCAATTAAATGTAATCATAGGTATATAGGCATAGTGAGAAAGTAGCATATATAGGGTTCCATATTGTCCACTGGCTGACCTACAGCCACTGCAATTATTACTGAGGGAAGACCTGGGTGAATCCTTTGAATTTAAAAGTCATTAGTTTGGGAGGTCACACAGGTGGGCAATTCATTATGAGTCTCCCACTAGCTTTGCTGTTGCTGACGCCTGTGATTAAAGTCACTTAATTGGCTGAAACTGTTCTGTGAAAAGTTACATTTCCTTATCTTGTCCTGGGACAGCTGCAGTTCAGTTAGCTGCCCCTGCCCTCCAGTGTAAACTAGCCTTCAGAGCTCTTCGGGCTTTCTCTGGGGAAAAGATCCCATTGCATTCTATAATTAACTACAGAATTAACCATTCCTGGGAAACAGAACTAAAAAGCCATCAGTCGTAAGACTTCCTAATCAATGACTTTTCTTCATATTTACGGAACCCTAAACATCCGGTGACCTACACCTAACAGCAGCCTGTGAGTAGGAAAAGCAGACCACTCCAAAGTAATAACTACCCTATCTCCCCCCTCTCTAATATTCGTCCCTACAACTTCCTAGATAAGCCTTGTGCCTGCAAGCCCTAAGCAGGATGATTTTTTGTTGGTGATAGCTACATCTTTGGTTTGCTAGCTTTCCAAATAATTCCCTTCCGTGTCCCAACAATTTGTCCTTGAAGGCATTGACTTTTTTCTGTGGCAAGCAACAAATGTGAGTTCCCGGTTTCGGGCCCACATCCACCGAGGATCTTAGAACTTATCCCCTGTAGATAGAGGACTACTGTGCATGAAATTCAATCTTTAGTGTCTACAATAAAGTTTTATTGAAACAACAGCCCTGCCCATTCATACTGTCTATGGCTGCTTTTGAGCTACCAATTGCAAAACAGTGTGCCGAGCTCTGCTCTTCACTCATCTGTCATTGCTCTCCATGCAGCCATCCCCAACTATCTGCAGTACCTAACTCAGCACCCTTTTTTTCTGACCTGTACCCCCCCACATAAACACCATTGGTGCTCCCTTGTAACTAACCCAGTCTTAGCATTTAAGTCATTCTAATTGTCCTTTTACTTGTCTAGTGCAAGTGTGCACCTCTGAACTTTCAGAATCACCCAGTACAATCCCGGGCCAATTAATGTGTGTTGATTGCCTGGAGCTGTAGGTTAGTGGTAGAGCGATTGCCTACCATGTGTGAAGCCCTGGATTCGATCCCCAGTACTACAATCAATTAATCAATCAAATGTACTTTGAGCAGCATTCTGAAGAGATGAATGCGACTGGGTCCCAAGGTTCAAGAAGCTTAAGGGAAGGTTTTACCTACAATCAACAGAAAGGAAGGATGAAAATGCACTAAAAAGCAGCAAGCACTTTGCCAGCCACAGAACCAGAGATCCACCCCTTCTTTAAAATCCTCGCCGACTTTAAGTCCCCTTCTTCCCCACAATGAAATTCTTACTGAGTTTATCTGTTGGCATGAGGTATCCTCTTCAGTAAAATAAGGCTAATTAAGTCCGACTTCGCAGGATTACAATGAAATGGACTACTGAAATAAAGCAGAAGCACGTAGATCACAGCGTGCTGCTCAGAAGGCGATCAGTGTGTGAAGTCACTGGATGGAGTCCGTCTCCAACACGAGTGTCCGTGTGCTCCGCTAACGGTGAGGCCCGGCGCCCAGCTCGTTGCTTAAATACGAGCCTCACCCGAGCCTCGCGAGAGCTCTGATTGGGCAGCGCGCAGGAGGGCTGGAACTCGGAGGAAACCGCCCCGGCGAGCCGGAAAGCAGCCCGCAAGCAGGAAGAACTACAACTCCCGGCGTGCCTCGCCAATGCTTAGGGCTCCTCTACATTTTACCAGTGTAGATCCTTCTGCGTAGACCTCAATAGCTCCGCCCCAAGCGTACGCTCCTCTTTTGCTCTGTAGCCCCGAGCGTGGCCACGCCCCAGTCTCCAGAATGAATACGTGTGACGTCTCCAGGATGCTACGCGTCGCGCGCTGGAGACGGGAGTTGGCTCACGGTCCCTGGCTGGGTTCTGGCGGCCTGGAGACTGAGGAAGAGGCTTTCAAGGCCTTCCGCGATGCCTCCTCAGCGGCGGGTCAGTCAGCTCCTGGAACTGTGAGTCCACCGGTCCCGCCTCTTCTGCGCGCCGCCCGGGCCCCTCCTCCGTCGACGGGCCCGCGCTGCTCTCCCTCCCCGCCTTTCCGGCGTTTCGGTTTCTGTTCCTAGGTCCCGCGCGCAGGACGGCGGCGTACCCTCAGTCCTCGGCTCGGGGCGCCCCCGGGAGGACAGTTTCTCCGCGGCCTTCCCCGCGGTGGCCTTGGGAGAGCAAGACGGGCCTGCGGACGTGCTCCCGGCAACAGTTCGCGCGGCTGCGGTAACGGGGTGACATGAACAGGGTCCCGCGCCGCCATCCACGAGCTCTGGGACCCGGCTCCCGTCTGTGGAATTACCGTGATAATGGAGCCCGTCTCACGGAGAGCTTGTGCGGAATAAACCTAACGCGGGGTCTGACAAACCCACCAAGTGTTAGTCGTTGCTGGTTGGCACCAGAAATTGCAGTTACCTTGGCAATTGTGGTTACCATGGCAGTCGGGGATGGCTTCTTGACCGTTCCCATTGCCCCGTAGAAAACAGACACCCGGACCCACTGCTGGCCCTCTAAAGCAATAGGATTTGCCGTGTCACTTTGCATCTCCTAAGCTCTTGGCCCTCCGTCCTCAGTCACTTCTCCTAGGCGAGATGTCACTTGGTTCTCCCCGCGTAGATTGAGACTTGGGTGGAGCCCTGAGGATAAGGCCTTGCTGTAGTTCTTGGCATAAACTTTATACCTGATCCAAATGGGATCTTATTTCCATCAGTAAGGGCAGGTTAGGGTAACGGTTAAGAATGCCAAGTAGGAGCCGGGCGCCGGTGGCTCACTCATGTAATCCTTAGGGGCAGAGGTCAGGAGGATCACAGATCGAAGACACCAGGGACAAATAGTTCTCCAGGTCCTATCTTGAAAAAAACCCATCACAACAAAGGGCTGGCGGAGTGGCTTAAGTGGTAAAGTGCCTGCCTAGCAAGTGTGAGACCCTGAGTTCAAGCCTCAGTACAGGAAAAAAAAAAAAAAAAACGTAAGCTGTGGGCTGGGGACTTGACTCAAGTGTATAGTACAGCCCGGGTCTACCAAGCTGGAAGTCCTGAGTTCAAATCTCAGTACCACCAAAAAAATCAAATTGTGAAGACAAACTGTTGGTTCTAGTCATACAGCTAACATTTACTAGTTATACAATCTAGCAAATGATACAGCTTGCCTGGGTTTCAGTGTTCTTAACTGTAAATGGAAGTTATTATATCCTATTGAACTGCTATGAATGCAAAAACCAGAAGATCAAAAATCAGAACAAGTAAAACCCATAGAACAGTGCTTGGCACATAGTTAAATGTTCATATATCTCTGAATATTTATATATTTTTCAGTAGTACTGGGGTTTGAACTCAGGACCTCTTGCTTGCTAGGCTGGTGCTCTACCACTTGAATCACTCCACCAGCCCTTTTTTGGTTGGGTAATTTTCGAGATAGGGTCTTGTGGACTGTTTGCCTGGTCTGGCTTCAAACCACAATCCTCCTCATCTTTGCTTTGTGAGTAGCTAGGATTATAGGCATGAGTCACCAGCGCCTGGTTTATAGTCATTCTTGTAGCCTCCTCGAGGGTTTCACACAAATGATCCTCTGAATTCCAGTGACTAGAATCAAGTCTTTCGTTTCCATAGAACTTTTGTACCCACTGTTCCTTATTTTTAGGATTTCTCAATATTTGGTTAAGCTTATATTTATTTTTTACTTTTTTTTTTTTTTGAGACAGTTATCCTGTGTTGTCCCAGGCTGGCCTAACTTGATCTTCCTGCCTTAGCCTCCTGAGTGCTGGAATTAAAGGCATTTATCACATACTTCCCATTGAAGCATGTACTTAAAGAGTATATGTGGTGTATGAAGTACTGTGCTGAAGACTGTGAAATAACAAGCATAATGGCAGTACAATCCTATGGGACTGTATGAGTTAAGTATATAAATAACTATAGTAGAGGCAGAACAATACTAGAAAAGAGGGATAACAAAGTATTTTGAAATTTTTGATGAGGAAAAGAATGGGCTGGCACAGTGACTCATCTATAATCCAAATTCTCAGAAGGCAGATGATGATTTGAGGCCAGCCCAGGAAAAGAGTTAGGGAGACCCCATCTCAATAAGACAGGTGTGGTGGCATAACCTGTGGTCCCATCTAAGTGGGAGGATCACTGCTGGAAGCCAGCCTTGGGCAAAAGCATGAGACCCTACCTGAAAAAATAAAAGCACAAAAGGGTTGGGTGTGGCTCAAGTGATGGAGCAGATGCCTAGCAATCACAAGGCACTGAGTTCAAACTCTAGTACCAAAAAAAAAAAAAAAAACCAGGAGAAGGCTTTGTAAAAGCGATTATTTTTGAAGATTGGTAGTGAGAGGGTATTAGGAAGTTAGGGTCAGGCCTGGCTGCCCACAGAGAGGCCATCCAGCCATCCACAAACAAGAGCTTTCTGTTCCCTCTTCTGGTCCTAAACTTTGACCACATCCTGTCAAACAGCCTAGTTTTACATCCTGTTATTTGCTAATATTGTGAACTCCAAGTCTTAGGGCTTTCTGCCCTAATTCTGCAGAAAGCAGCAGCAGGGTCAATCAGAGGATCATATTAACTGACATATAATTAAGATTGCTGTTTTATGTATGCACTGCCTTACAAATTGCCATCTTGGTTCCCAACAAACCTTGGAAGGTAGCCCCCTCCCTGAACAGCCCCTTCCTGGAAAAGCCAGGCACTGTTTCAGGAAAGCGCCATAATTATTTAGCATAGCGATAGATTAGCCACCATAAGAACCTCAAGCCCCAAGAGCTTGGAGCACTCAATCGATCATTTGGGTTGCCTGCTCTCTGCCTTCTTGAGAGTGTACTTTCACTTTGCCTTAATAAACCTTGCTATGTGAAATTCTCTGTGTCTGTGCCCCTGAATTCTTTCTTTGGCTGGATCAAGAACTCACTGATCCTAATTTTCATGGTTGCATTAACATCTGGCAGTTGAAAATCCAAAGAAATGAATCTGAGTGAGTAGAATAAGATAAATGAGTGTGACAGGCAGAATAGTTAGAAATATATGAGAAGGCCAGGAAGTGGTGTTCCATTTTGACTGGAGGACACAATATGAGTAAAGGAATAGTAAAACAAAGCCAGATAATTAGGAGTAGAACCTTGGGAACCAAAATGAAGTAAGAGTACTCTAGCAGTGAGGAGCTATCAAAGGTTTTGGAACTGTGCTGAGAACAGAGATTTGAATTAAGTTGGAATTGGGAATAGGGAGACACTTTGGGAACTTGTAGAATCTTGGGAATAGGTATGGGGAGCCTAGACTTGGAGACAATTATTTCTGGTGGTAGGGAGTTAGAATGTCCATCTCTTAGGCGAGGTGCCATGGAGTACTATCCAGCAGTTAAAAGTAGATGTATACATATTCATAGTGCTTAGTGAAAAGAGGAAATAGAATAGCAGAAGTCAAGAATAATTATCAGAAACTGGGAAGTAAAACATAAAAGATGACCACATGACTTACATTGTCCTAACTAGAGTATAACGGTCTGTATTTGCCTTTAGAACCACAGTTTGTAACCATTTAGGGATAAGGTATAATCTGAGAATGGCATTTGGTCAGCTAGCTGTTTGGGGTGTATAACATGGTAAAAGGATCTTGAGCACACGATTTAGTCCAGCTGATGGGACTTTCTCCATGAGGAAACTATTTGGTTTACATCCTTGCATACGCTCCTTACCTTCTCACTGACCAGCCTTAGAGAATCCTTTGGATCTGGCATTTGCTGAATGGTTCAAATAGAGGAACCAAGGAAAGAGAAGAATCAGAAATCAGAGTTTTCAGCTTTGATTGGGAGAATGATCACTAGATTATTATAGAAGAGTTGGTGTCTTGTAGGGAAACCAGTCCGAACATCCAGTAAGAAATATCAAGCAGGCACTTAAAATACTTTAGAGTCTGAAAGAGAGATCAGGGTTGAGGCTAAATGGGGGAAAACTCCTTATAGATGATAGGTGAAGCCATGATGAAGAGAGAGACTATAGAGAGGAGAAAAGAAGGCCGAGGAAAAAAATTTGTACAACACTTACATTAGAAGCAGACCATTTTGCCAAAAGTCATTCCTTCGGTAGATCAACTCTTCACATAACTGATTGGCTAAATCTTAATAAGTTGTTTCTTTTAACTATGAAATTTAGAGCAACTCATATTGGATGGGATGGCTCCCCCTTTTCCCCATTTACTTTACAGATTTTGTTAAGTTTTAACTGAACACTTCATTTTGTCTTAAGAATGAGGCAATGTGTGTTAACTGGTAGGCCTGAAACCACTTATGTCAACATAACTTGTTACTTTGGGAAATTTTAAAAATCACTATATCTAAGTAGTTGACAAGCAGGACAAATTATTTGATTATTAGGGTAAACCTTAATGTTTATCAGAACAAATTTTTTATCAAGGCTTATAAGCCTGAAGTTACTATGTTACAAACTTTGCCCAATCCTAACTGCTTCCCTGTCTTTTGGTGGTAAAAACACTCTCTCAAAGTACTTCAGCTTATATCCCAAACACTTTATATACTCTTGCCTAACATTGTTCTAGTGAAAAACCACTAAAATCCTATCAAGGTGGTCTCCCTTGCTGCAGCAAATTTAATAAACTGCTTTGTTTGATCAGCAACCTTTTTTGATGGTTTCATAGTTTTCTTAGGCCAATGTGGTAGTACATGCCTGTAATCCTAGCATTCAGGAGACTGAGCAGGAGGATGGTGAGTTTGATGCCATCATGGACTACATAGCGAGAATTTGTCTCTAAATAAATAAATAAATAGATAAGTAGTCTTCATAATAGCATTTTAGTATCAGACTTGTTTGTGCCCAAGCTCCCCACTGTGTTGGCTGAGGAAACGGAGGTTGAAACTCATGGCACAGCCTCAATACCTAAGCTCAGAAGAGGATTCTAAAGGGTCAAGATGAAAAAGACTGGCAGAGAAGGGGTGCAGGGAGACGGGGGTGGGGTTG